CCAGCAAGGTGAGGTGCAGGGGAGGTGCTGGGGATGCTGTGCCAGGCACAGGGCCCATGGAGGGGAGGGAGCCCATGGGGCACCCCCTGCCCCAGCCAYGCACTCACTGCCTGGTTCTCACAGAGACTGGGACAGCAGCACYGGGGACTGAACCTCTCAGGAGGGTTGTGCTGATGTTTTGTCCCAGGACCAAGTCCCATTTCCCACCTTCATAGCCATTCTGCCCAGGAAATGTCYCCTCTCCTGCCCACCCATACTCTGGCTTGTGGTAGCAGGGCTGTGCCTCTTTCAGGCTGCCCAGTAGATGGGGATGAGGTGCTTGGCTGTGGAGCTTCGAGAAGGGCTTGGGATGCCTCTTTTCTCCCCTTTCCCACTCCTCCTGTGCCCCTCTGGTCCCTCTATACCCCCCATCTCTATAAACTCTKGCAGCTGATGCCTCTCTGCTCCATCTCCACACTCARTCTGAAACCCCTGGTCTGAGCYGGGCACAGGATCCCTGTGCTCTGCCCGAGTGCTGYGTGTCCCTCTGTCCCACCTGTGACCAGGCATCCCCCWGCTGAGGGGAGAKGGCACCTGGTCCCTGTGACCCCCAGCCCCTCAGAAAACCCAGCCTTTCCCCAGTCCTGCAGGAGCTCAGAAGATCTCTYTCCCCTCAGGAGAGGGGACCTGCTCCAGCTTCTCCAGTGCCTCCTGGAGGGGAGGTCTCCAGAGGGCACTCACGGTGCCATGGGACCTGCAGGTTGTCACTCATGGGGATGCCAGTGACAGCYGTGGGTCAGGGGCAGCTGTGGGCACCACCTCATGTGGGAAGGGGCCATCCCGYGAGCTGGCAATGAACAAGCTGTTGTTGCACTCTCAGCAGGAGTTTATTGAGGATGTGGGGCAGGGGGAGCAGTGGCACAGGGTCCCGGCACCAGGATCCTGAAGTGGTGTCTCACCAGGGCACAACCTTCCCTTCCCAGTCCAATAAGAGGCCGCTGTCTTTCTCAGAGATGGAGGAGAGGACCTTCAGCATCCCTTGCACGCTGTCATCCACTCTCACAGGGGGCTGTGGGGCAGAAGGAGAAGCAGTTTTGTGCCCGAGGTCAGACCAAGGCCTGCYCTGGAACAGATCATTGGTCAAGACTCTGGGCTCTCTGGAATGAGTGAGGAGAGGCCAGAAGCAGGCAAAAAGACTTCCTAGATGCTCATCTCCATCCCTTGTGGGAAGGTGCCTCCAGGGAACCTGCCCAGCAGCTCCCACAATGCTCAACATGACACAGTTCAGTAGCAGTTCAGTCCCCAGGAAGATCAGATCCAGGAAGATCTGATTTCCCAAATAACAAGGTTGTTCCAGACCAGGGCCAGGASATCTCTTACCGTATATGACCCTAAGGTCCCCAACTCGGTGTGCACCCAGCCGGGGTGGAGAGCGACGCAGAGGATGCCGTGCTCCTGGTGTGTCAGGGACTGGCACTTGGTCAGCATGTTCAGAGCAGCCTGTGGGGAGACAGGGAGGGGATGGTGGTGGAAAGGAAGGGGGTTGCAGGGGACTTATGCAGGAACAGGTACAACAATGTGCCGTGACGTGGATGCAGTGACAGACAGGACCTCAGAGACTGCACAGAGAAGTTCAGGAATCCAGGGAGGAGATACTGAAGGGCCTGGGGAATTGTTTGCTGAGAAAAGACAATTGGACTCATATTGGGAACAGCGCATACCTTGCTGCAGCGATACGAGACCATGGGAGACTTTTCCCATATAAAGACTTCCTTAATGGACCCTGCCGAGCTGGAAATGTTGATGATGGCAGCCTTGCTGCAGCTCAGCCCTGAGCCTGGG